TGCATTATTTCGCTCGCTATCGAAAGAAATGCACGTTTCGCGCACGTTACTAGGAAACAATGAAAGAAAGTAAAAGTAGTTGGGTGTATTGACATCGATCGAGCGAAGTAAAAGTGTGTCCACTTTCAGTGGACGTCTTAATGCACCCCATGACCATCCATGCGCGACATCCAACGTATTAACTCGCTTAATCATAGATTCACGATTGACTTTCGACCATAGGTTTGATGGCTGCAGAAGCGGTAGCCGCCATGCTTGCCGATGACCTGGCTACCAAGGCCCTCAACGACAAAACGGCGGACGCGATGATTTATAGGATGTACAAAAACCTTCCGGTCAATTAAAGTGACGTCGAGGACATTCTACCGTTCAATTGGACTTTTGTAATTCTCACAGGTTTATATCGTATAAAGTACGTTGACGCATAATGCTCAAAACAATTGTTTCAAGATGATTGCATCAAAAACAAAAAAAAAAAAAAGGAGAATAGAAAAAGCACACACAGGTTCAAAACGATAGCACAGGTTTAAGGAATTTCCTATGAATTTTTAACATTGAATTACCGAAAGATTTTTAGACTTCACTTAGGCAAATATTTTCATTTCCTTCTTAGGTTTCTTAAATAATCGTTTGAAATATTAATTAATAAAATGCATGCTTCTATTTATTTACTTATTTATTTGTTTCTGTTCATAGTTACAGAACCGATTAATTTATTAGTAACGTTATATTCTATTTTATCTTCTACAACGTAGCTCGTGTTTTAACGTTATATTCAAGTTTATACATATATTTATTACACACATGTTTTACATTACATACGCGTATTAGAAATACCTTACAATTTATATACCACAAGTCAATCTAGCTTAGTTTGTAGAATTTGTACTTAGACTGCTAAATCATTTGTCCCTTCGTTGCTAAAAAATAAAACTGTCAGCTCGTTCAATATGGAAACGATCCGGTACACGCGTTATCTCACGACCTTTAGCCGCAGAAACCGGAAACTCCTCTGCGTAGCCGATCACGTTCCCCGAGTTGTGTCACCGTGTGATTGCAGTGGCGCGATTTGCAAACGGGTTCCCGAACGTTACGTGCCGTTTACACCATACGCGGCACCATCGCCAAACCAGTTGGGATCCGTCGGATTTTACATAATCGCATTTGGGAAATTCAGCGAGTTGCAATAACGTTCATCGACTCGGGGAAAGTAGTTGTGAAACGTGTAGAAATTTCATAAAATCTGGAGGCTGCAGCGATTTTTCTTTACGCTTTTCGTTTTTTAATCGATCGTGCAATCTTATCGTTGCTCTGCATTTCGTAATTTTCCTTAGAATTAGATATCGATGGAAACATCGGTTTTAGTGTTATGCTGTTAGCTTTAGAATATCAATATCATTTTTAACAGAATATAAGAATGTCGTTGCAGAGAATTATTACATGTAATTAGGGTATAGTAGGTGGTAAATAATGTTTCGACGCTTTCATTATGACGCATAGTTGAATAACGCGAAGTAATATCAATTAGCTGTTGATTCTTGCAATGCTGTAAATCGAAAGAAAAGATGGCTACGTTTTTCGACCTTTTAACGCAAGAAACACTAGCGCGACGCTTGATAATATAAAGAGTAAAATGCCAGTAGTATATAAAAAATTAAATTATCGTTGGAATCTTCAAAAGACGCACCGTAGTAAATTTATAAAATTTCTGAAGATCACGAATTAGTCGTTTCTCCTTAGTTTCGTAGTTTTAGCGTTAAAATGGAAATATAATATTCAAGGACTTGGAAATGGTTTCCTTTCGAGAGAGAAGTAATTGCATTAGAACGTGGCACGCGTTATACGTGTTAAATTTTTTCAAACTTTTCTTCTCTTTTTGATCGCTGGTCAAAACCGTGTCGACCATTGGACGACCATGGCAATTATGCGTTATACGGAGATGTAGATCGTTAGATCGTTAGGTATTTGAACAATGGAACACGAACGATGTAAAAAAGAATGAATTAAATGTAACGCGTACCAAGACAGTGGCCCCTGCATTTATTGATCGCACAACGATTTAACTAAGATTGTGCAATATACATCTAAGAGCTATTTTCCAGGATGGAAGGGTTAATACCATTAATATAGATAATATTTATATGGAGAATATGCTATAAAGTTAGAATTGAATTATGGAAAATGGTTACACCGTTATGTATAATAACGATAATAATGATAAAGTAAAGGAAATGTAGAATTTATATCACGAAATAGAAATATATATTCTTAACAAAATGCATATAATAATTGTAGAAATAATTCATGCATAAGAATACATAAATGTACTAATATTATAGTATATATGTATACACATATTGATATGTAAGAATCTTCTAACGTATTGGAGATTTAAGATGTGAAATAAAAAGATTTATCTAGGCAATAAGTTTAATATGTTTTTCACAGTCTGTAAATTGTTCGTTACGATCTATTTCTATCTGTCAGTCTGTTGATTTTATTTCATGCCAGACATGAAACTATATTTTTAAAATAATAATTTCTCCTTCGAACAACGTTACATATTGGCGAAGGAAATTTATTACAAAGGGAATAAACACATCGTTAAAACAATATCAAATCTCTACGATATATTTTCGATAGAACGGATGAAAAAAATAGTTAGGAAACCTTCAACGCCGAAGGATTTCATCGCGTCTGAAAAAGAAAGAAATTCTGTTTCAACAATCCGAAACACAGAAGGTTTGCGTCACTTCACGATTAGCATTAACAGAAAAAGATAATTAATAGTTTTACGTCTGGAACTTTCTGCAAAACATCGCATAAAGTGATTCACGATATTTCTGACCTAAATGTGGCAAGGGTTTGCGTGCCAACTATTGCAAAAGCTTAGGAAAGCACTCGAAATTTTTCCATCGTTTCACACCCAACGATAACATCTTTCTCGAACAATCGTTTGCTCGAACTATTATCTTTTATCCTACTCTTTCGAAATTACGAATTATTACACGAAATATTAGGCGGAATTTGCGACAAGGACGCAACGATTGTTAGATTAACGACGAATCATTGCAAGGAGAATTATTATCGCGATTCTTGGCCAGTTGCGAGAGAAATTATTGCGATGGGAGGATGCCGCTAAAGGAAACCGTAATTGACGGAAGAAATTACTTGATGCAAAAAACATTCAAATTAGAATTCCAGTGTTTGATGGATTATAATTTAGTGAGAATTTTACTTGCTATTATTTTATCCATTTTATTCTATTAGAGGATTGTTATCAGAGAATTTTTCTTTCCAATCACTTTATGATTACCTACATTTATTTATGGACAAACGTATTTGTTTATAGATAGCAGAAATTAATCTTTAAACATACAGAATACGTTCTTTATAACTAGACAAATCAGTATTTTTGTAAACAGAATATAATTTCTTAAATTTCCCTTACAGAAAAGGATTAAGTTTCTTATATTTTCAATTTTTTCAGCTATGTCTCACTTATTTTAACAAAATTTACACAAACTGGCTTACAGTAAACACTCTTTTGTGCTACGAATATCAATTAAAGATATCTGTCAAGTCGGTATGTTTCTTCTCTCTACGAATATATTATAAACGTATATCGCCTGCTTACTATACATTACTTACTATATACTTAGCATGTTTTACAGAGGTAAATTATTAACCGAGAGTAATTCGACGATTTTTAGCGCGAGACATTACTACTTTCTACAGTCGATTCGACTGTATTATCGTAAGCATGATATTATGTAAATGTAAAATCGATTACTTTGGAATTTATAGCCTAAACATGACAAGTCTTTTAAATAATTAATGAGTTTTACTTTCCAAAAGTTGGCCACAGGGAAGCTTGTGACAATTGTGCAACGTGCGTTAATCATATAATTCATTCTTGACGTACCAATTAATTTTTTCATTCGCTATTGAATCCTTCAACAATGGTAGATCGAAATTAAAATCTATTACTAAACGATTAACCCTGATTAATTCAAATCACAAACAAAATCCTTTTAGTTACACATTCAATTCGATATATAAATATTTAATTTACGGAGTTACTCGGCAATTGTGTTCATTATGCTATTTCCAAAAATTATTTGCAATTTTTTGATTATAAGGATAATACGTTAAAAATTCGCTCGATCACTCTGCTCGCGAGAACATCCTTCGAACACCGTCACCAAAGTCTGACTGCACGAATTTCAATGGCCCGACTTTTATTTTCTTTGCACGCATCTGACATAATATTACAATACATACAATTACAAATGCAAATGCATGCAACGAAGGAAAATAACATCGACAAAGCGCAGATTATCCAATTAGCTTGAATCCATATTATTTTTTTAACATACAATGCGATACGATAAACTTAAGAACGGAAGTTGCTTTTTATTTACATAAAGATAAAATTGAATTGACAAAATTGAATTCAATATTAGGGTTATATCGTTAACGATTGATTTTATTTATCAGAGATATTGTACGAAATTTACTCTTCTAAGAAAGACTAGAGAGAAGAAGAAGATAACACTCGCCATGTTTTTAGCACGGGATTAAAAACTAAAAGCTTGCCATTACGGTCTCGCAAATTACGATATTACGGTAATAGAAACATAGGAAAGGGACCAAGTAAATAAAAATAAAACAGGAATGCCTAAATACCAAAAACTCTGCCAGAACAATTAATAATAATAAATAAAATTAATTAATGATAATAAATGGTAGTATACAATCTGAAGGAAAGATAAAGATATTCAAAATATTTTATTAAACGGATATAGTAAACATTCATATCTACTATTCTGACGAACAGAAGTGGAAAGAAAATACTAAAAAATTCACCGCTGCAAGAATAAACAAAACAAGACCTAGATTAACACTGAATATACTTTATCGAGTAAAAATAGAGAAACATCTTATTAATTTTTCTCACCGAAGAAGTAGAAAATATACAGGGTATCGTGCGAAAACAATGAAAAATCCCACGTTACCTCGTCGTTACCTTTTGCGTCTAATCCTGACCTACCTTCGCGCGATTCCGCGTAGAAGCACCGCGAATTCTATCAAATGGAATACGGTGTGCATGGCTACGGCCCTGACTGAGTTAAAAGAAGGCATTCTACCGTGATAAATTCACCATTACGGCGAGTGGGGCGGCATACAGTCGGAGAAAGTGGCGTTAGTTGATATATACCCAGGCAACGCGGGCCATCGCACGCATTTTCAATATCGCTCTCGCTAATTTCAATCGGTGGAGATAAATCACGTCCTCCTGACACCGGCCAGCGACAGGATGACGTTGTTGATCGGATTGTTCCTGATTGCCAGCTGGACCGGAGCTGCCTTTTCCGAACTACGTGAGTACCATTTTCATCTTCGCGCCTCTGAATCCTGTTACGGACTTGAAGTAACATTTGCATCTGGCTTTGTTCAAACGTCGTTGTATCTTGGGAAACGATGACATGTTTCATCCACTGGATGTTCTAAGGAGCATTTTGTGCGTATTATGAACGTTCTATACAGTTTTGCATCTTCGAATTTCGCACAGATGGATAAAAAACCGCGGTTTGGTAATTACTAATGCAACATAATAGACGCTACTTGATTCCAAACGTCGCGATACTTCGTAGCTGTTACTTGAAAGATGTTTAACACAACTTGCATCCAAGAAGAACGTTTGCCATGTCCTGGCTGAGTAAACTGAAACGTCAATGATACCTTTACTACGTTGATCCGATCTTTCTCAGTGTTGAAACGTTGATACGGGCACGCGATTATCCACGACTCGTGTATAGAAACGTTTCAAGGACGATAATAATGAAAATTGATTCCTAATATGGTAACTATTGTCATGGTTCGACTTCGTTATTGATAGGTATTTACGTACATAATAAAATTAACTTCTCATAGTTTGAGGATTTTCTGGGAATCTTACAAGAATATCAAGCATTTTGAGAAATAAAATAATTTAAGATTTTTTGTCTTTAGGAGAATATCCTGCTTAGAGTAGTTTATGTCGCAACACGAAATACGTAGTTTAATAAAGTAGTTAAGTAGTATGGTTAAAGTACTTTAAGTATTTTTGTACCACTTTTACTTTACAAGTATATTGTCAGTTTAAATGTTATAAACATAAGTACATATTTTATAAAGCCTTTTGGTAAATCTGTCTTTAGTTTAATTACTACGGATCTAAAGTGTAAAACTTATAAGACAAAATTTCTTCTACCAACAGTGTTAAAACGTTCCTGAAAAAGTTACCCCACTAAATCCTTTTTATTTACGATGTAACGTAGCTAAGTTCTTATTGCTTCGATAAAATGAAGAAAAAAAACAATAAGATACGTACGACGTTTGGGAAAAAAGATGGAACAAGCGAGATGCGATATTTAAAAAATTTATCGTTCGAAGAACTTTCGATGTTGTGTAGCTATAACTTGACACCTGTAAACATCTGTTAAAGGTGCGTCGTGTAAAATGACGTTGCGTGACGTAACGAACGTGTTGGACGGTTCTGGTTTTCGACGTGAATGTAATCGACCGTGACGAAAGAAATTGCTCAAAGAACAAAATCAAACTTTGTTCTTCGAATGTCTTTTACTTTCGAGCCTATATGAATTTTGTTGCTCGATAAAAATAGAAAACGTTGGCGAAACAAGGAAGCAACGTAGCGGATATCCAAACGAAACGCGAAAAATTTCCTACAGGGGGAAGGTTGAAAATAATGTCATCAAAATATTCCAAAATATTAAATTATTTTACATACGAAATCTCAGACGATCCTTATTCGACGTTTTATAGAAAATAAAAATAAAAAGATAAGAAGGGAGCTAACTGTTAAAATATAAGAAAATAGAAACAAAAGGCAAAATATAATATTTTCATAAAATACTTTTTCTACCAAGCATTAAAATACTTTCGCTAGTCACTGTACATATTTCTCAAATTTTGTCGTACGAATCTCTCGAGTTGTAATCACGCGCAATAGGGTGGGATACGCATGAAGGAACGGTAATTCTACTGTTAAACCAACCCTTAGCCCCAATCAACGTTATTGTCACCTCGTTTCACTCTCAACTTCATGCTTCGAGTTTTACGATGGAACTCTTTTTATCGGTCGTTTAGAAATTCGGGTCGAACGGACCGGCTGCAGGTTGTAAGGACATTCTCGAAGAACGATCAATCGTCCACAACGGTCCGCTCTTTCTAGCTATGGGCGATCTATCAATCAGTAACAACGCGGCGCCGCGCCTATCCCGTTGATCCTCTGTATCGATCGATCCTTTCTCGAACGCGTGTGTTTTCTTCTCTCCTGCCTTCGGACTCTTCAGCATTGAGAATTCGCCTTTACGGTCGTAGAAAGAGCATGGACGCTCGCCAACGTAATTTCACTTTCTACAGAACGTCTATTTACTTTCGATTTTAAGCCTGGCCTGCAGCAACTGGCAAAAAGACGCTCACCGTGACTCTTTGGTCATCAACCATCGTTGATCGTTCAGTCGCCCAAGGTTTGCACGTTGTTCGTAGACTCTTCACGTAGTGCGTTGCATATATTGTTCGTCGTTCGTACAGTGGTGGACAAAAGGAAATTTATAGAAAAAAAAGTATAAAAAGACGCGATCATTTTGCAAAGTCGATTTATGTCTGTTGGTGGACAAAAGAAAATTTGTAGAATAAAAAATATAAAAAGACGCGATCATTTTGCACAATCGATTTATATCTGGTGGTGGACAAAAGGAAATTTGTAGAATAAAAAATATAAAAAGACACGATCATTTTGCAAAATCGATTTATATCTGGTAGTGGACAAAAGGAAATTTGTAGAATAAAAATTATAAAAAGACGCGATCATTTTGCAACGCCGATTTATATCTGGTGGTGGACAAAAGAAAATTTGTAGAATAAAAATTATAAAAAGACGCGATCATTTTGCAAAATCGATTTATATCTGGTAGTGGACAAAAGGAAATTTGTAGAATAAAAATTATAAAAAGACGCGATCATTTTGCAAAATCGATTTATATCTGGTGGTGGACGAAAGGAAATTTATAGAATAAGAGATATAAAAAGACGCGATCATTTTGCAAAACCGATTTACATCTGGTAGGAGCAATTATTTCTAATCTCTCTCTTTTTGTTTGTTACGTTTAATAATAGACGACTATTATCGGTATGGTAAAAAGTTTGTGGGAAATATCACGGAAACTGAAATAATAGATGAAAAGTAATTACATAGATATTGAACTGTTTAATAATGTATGTATATTATTTATTGTAGCGAGGCTTAAAGTCTAATGCAATTTTCGTTTACATAGGTGCACGTTGAGCAGAATTTCGTTTGCTCTTTTAACGTGTTACTTATAACAATGTTCGCAGTGTTTCCGATTAATCGTTCAATGAGTGAGGTTAATCGAATTCGTCTTGGATATTAAAATAAGCGTTTGCGTTGGTAGCTGGTAGGAAAGTAGGTCATTTAAATTGCTTAAGCTGCGTCCAGCTAAAATAATTATAGGTTCTACAAACACGCGAGTCGTTGCTTTTCACCGATTGGAATGTCAGGACCCCTTTCGCAACGTAAAAGGAAGTTTTGCTATGTCACGCCGGTTAGACGCATTCTTCTGCAAACGTTTTCATATTGCATCTAAAGAAATTGTTAATTAAACGTTTTATATGATGAACGAACATCATTTGAATTCCTAAGTAATAATATAAAACAGACATTTTCTTACTTCGCTATCCATGTTCACAAATATTTAATTTCCAAGAAAGAAGAGATCTTTAGCAGATTCCCTTACGTAATTCGAATATTTTTCATAACGAAACAAATGACATATTTTTGTAAACAAATTTCTTACACATTTCATAAATTATCTGATTGTCCTATTCAACGAAAAATGATAAAATCGTTAAGGAGAAGAACATAATTTATGACTTGTCAATTTGCTATTATTATCAACTGGCAAATTATCGTCTACGAAAAGACTTGGATGTCCTGTAACAGCGTCCATATTTAAAAAATCCAGATTCTTTCGTTCAGAAACCTTCCATCGATATCATCTATTGCGAAGAAACGTTTCACGTTTCGCCGTGGCCAAAATTACACTGTTACATCTGCTTTGCAGCACCTGGTGTGCAGTCTTGTCCACGAGCGCTCGACCTGCCGCAATACGACAGATGCGTGGTGCAGCAATTGAACGCTATAACGCCGTACCTGGCCAAGGGAATCCCGTCTTTGAAGTTGCCAGCCTTAGATCCTCTATTCCTACCATCGTTAACGGTAGATAGAAACCTGGATTCGCTAAAGATCAAGGCGAACATGAGCCAGATTCGCGTGTACGGCGCAACGAATTTCGTTATTAGCGATTTGAAGGCCAATCCGAATGATCTGTCGGTTCGTCTCAAAGTTCAGCTGCCCCATGTCCACGTGAACGGAGATTACGATGTACAAGGAAGATTGCTGTTACTTCCATTGAATGGAGCTGGTAGTTTCAAAGGAAACTTCAGTGAGTATCTGAATCTAAGTATCTAAATATTTCCGCCTCTCGTACTATCGAATTGATTTATTGCTACAGCTAGCACGGAAGCGCAAGTAACCGCTCAAGGCAAAGAAGTCACCGATAAGAACGGAATACAAAGGATCGAGATCGATAAGCTGGTGACAAAGATTCGCGTAGGAGACGGAAACATCAGACTAAAAGCACCCCCTAGTCACACTGTAGCTGGTAACTATCTGCTTAATCTGTAACTTAACTTTTGTCTCGAATCGAAAAACGAAGGGAAGCTGAGCTTAATTCGTTAAAAGAGATTAATTCGCTAGGCAATTTCATTCTTTTAAAAAATCGTCTACCGTTGTAATACCAAATCTGTTCATATTTCTTAAAGATAATTTGAATGATCGCTTAAACGAAAATACAAATACAAAAGCCAATTGTGAATTCTGCATAAATTTCCCGTTAAACGGACATAATAACATTCTTCCTAACAATCGAAATTCAATAGTATGAAATACTTCCTTTTCTTTGGCTCGATAACTTTAAATCTGCTCCGGCAACCACAATCTGCGAGGCTTTTGTTCAACTTCCCCTTCGTTCTTCGATCTTCCCTCATTCCCTTCTTTTTCTCACCTTTCGCTGCAATTTCGTCTTTTCAGCTGACGCAGCGGCCACCTTTTTCAACTCGAATCCACGCTTAGTCCTGGATATCGCCAGCCCGATTATCGAGGACACAGCCGCGACTGTTAGCAGAGCATTGGCCGCCAGAGCATTAGGGGCTCTCACAAAAGAGGAATTACTTCCCTAGTCCACGTTCGCTACGTTAGGCGATCCCATAAGTAATGGTAGAGTGCGTTTAACGCGTCTCCTGTCTCGTCGACTATGAACAATCCAATAATTCATATTCATCGAAATATGAATATTATTCAACTCGAAATTATCAATTTCAAATGATACACGTTCGGCAAATTAAATTATCAATTGTATTTAATACACGCGAAAGGTGTTGTAAAATGTCAAATGCTTGGTGTCAGATTATGTCAAGTAGCAAGCATTTGTATTTTGCAAGGTATTGTAATTTTATACTTGAACGCATTTGCACATTTTCTTTGTTAATAATCTTATAAATATTTGAAAGCATATTCACTGAGCAAAGTTATTTGTCCAGATGTAATTTAAATACTAGAGTTTCTTTTTTCTAATAATAATCTTTCCGATATTATAAATATTAGCACGCATATACTGCATAATTTCTTAAGTGCTATAAAAGTTTCTTTCTGGTTTAATGAATATTTTTTCAACGTTCTGGAATATCACAAACAAAATTGTCGATTTCGATATGGAAAATCAGGTCCGACAGGAAACGTATTAAAGTGAAAAACAGAGAATTTTTTAAATTGTAAGTACGTACTTAGATCGTTTTTATACTGCATATTAGATATAGCTTGATGTGATTAACTATAGCAAGTAACGAATGGTAGTTTGTTGTCGTCATAGCCTAGATCGAAAATAGCATTTTTAAACAACCAAAAAGGAGAAAGATATTTTTAATTTTGAACATTATACTTTAAATAACTGAATATACGTTATTTTTGTTATTGTAAAATCCTAATTAATTCGTCGTTATTTGTTATAAAATACGACTACAATGAAACAACATAGAATCTGTTTGTATATACTATAAATGTGTACTTTCATATAGATATCGAATATTATACGCTTGTTATTAATTTTCAGGTGTAATTGTTAAAGCAAATTATTTTGCGATCTTTTGATAAAATTTTATTATTCATGGGGCAAAATGTTTCGTTACAATTGGACATTCCTTTGTACATTTAAAATTATTCGCCTACTTTTGTACAAATCGTTTGACATGTTAGAACGTAATTACACAATTTTATAACTTCATTGTAAAATCATTTGTTGCAACTACGTATCATGTCGACGCATTTTCTGTCTGGTTTCTTGTTTGTCGTTCGTTGATCGAAAACTTTTGTAATAAGCCTAATAAGTGTTATAATAAATCCTAAGCTGAATATACCTTACCTTGATTTTACAGTAACATTTAATAATAAATTTTAAAAGCACGCCTAAATGCTTTTCCAAATGTTATATATTTATTTTATTTTCCAATTATTCGTTGATAATTCTTTAACAAGATAATACTGTCGAAATGTGTTCTTTTATTCGTTTATAAAATATACGACGTATGCAAATGTATGCCCGTATGAATATACATTGACAATAAAAGATAACAAAAGTAGCTGTACAAATTTTTACAAGATTATCGAAACCGAATCTTAACGATTTAAACAGTTTAATCGTCCGGAAATAGTTCTTTGTAGGTGAAAGTCTTTGTGATTTTATTGGTCACGTCCGTGAAAAGTGTTGCCAGCGATGTTTCCAGCACCGGTGTGATTTCGTCCAGAAATAGAGCGTTGTTGTTGTTTAACAACTCGTGGGTGGTAGCGGCTGATCGAACGAAAAATGCGATTAACACCTCGAAAACGTATTAATGCAATTCATAATTCATGATCGAATAATAATTATTCACCGTTACGAGGATCTGAGAAATAATTAGGATACTACAAAAGCAATTAAGAAAAATTACCAATGTAGTTTACTGATATATAGTTAATAGGAATATATAGTTAAGCTAACAATTGGCTTACCAAGAACAGTATCGCCGCCAAACAAATTACTGAGATTTAAATGTGCCTTGCCGATTTTGATCTTCATCTTCATCTTCTCAAAATTAAGATAGACGTCGTTATCTCTGTGCACTTTGCGTGCTCGTAGGACGACGTCCGAATCGTAATTGGCTTTGGAATAAAAATCAATCAAATCAACGGTAGATAGAATTTAGAAATGAAATAAAGAAATTTAATTACTGAAAGATCCAGTGATATCACCCTGCCCTGTCAATTTCAGCAAAAGCAGCCTTGCGTCGATCTGGTACTTCCCTTGAAAGCTCAACTTATCGAAATTCACCTTGAAGGTGAAGACTACGTTCTCTACGTCAGCTTTAAGGTCCCGGATGTTGAACGAAGATGGACCAAACACCTAATTTTCGATTATTAATGTAAAAGAAGAAAAAAAAACAAATTATAACAAAGAAAAGAAAAGAAAGTGAGGATCAAGCAAGTAACATCGATCTATGCAAATGATCGCGTTCCGTTCTACAAATTTACCCGCAAATCCGTGAGATTGACGTCGAGCCTCGCTCCGACTGGTCCTCGAGACAGATGAATTTGTTTGAGGTTTAGGGGTTCGATGGCTGGTGCACCGAGTTCTGGTATCCCAACTGATAATTTATCGCGAAGCTGATCGATGGACCTGGTGATGCATTTGTTGATATCTGGATCGCTCTTCTTGCACGGCTTTATGTAAGACGCTGAAATTGAACGATTGCTCAAGCTGGATTAATTGTTGACGCGTTGAAATCGTCTCGTGCGATTCGAACGGTCAAAGTAATACGGAGAAATGTATCGCGCAATTTTGTACAAACGCGTATTTTGGTCGAAGAAGTTGAAAGGTTGACTAAGTTAGGCAATTAGAAATCAAGAATCAAAGATTAAGAATTGGAGATCTGGAATTAAAAATCAGAAATGAAGAGGGAATCATTATGGATCACTTGGAACAGGAATTGACAATGTCGTTTTAGCGAAAATTGTGTTACTTTGTGCACGAGATTGGAATCTGCATAATATTTGCTATTTTGCTAGCGTGATTATTAACAATTAGATCATGCGCGTTTAAGCAAATTTAAATTCTTAGGGATACAAAGAAAAACAGAACCTGCATTGTGATTTGTTTGATTCATCATTGATGGAAATAGAAAATATAAGATTGCACTTATTTATCACGTTATATCAACTGTATCGTTCTAAATTCTAATTTTATTATTCAGATCAATTTCACGTTACTTGTTCTATGAAAAGGAATAATACAAGGAAATATTTATTATCTTCGATCTCTTTAACAATTTCAAAGTCCAATACGTACAAATGATGAAAAAGTTACTACACTTATAACAAGGATTACCAATTCATATAGCTAACGTTTTTAAATAAAAAGTGTAAGGTTTTATTCGACAATATCTATTTGCACCTACTTAATTACGAAATCCACTATACAACGCAAGAAGATTCCGTCGCTTGTTCAATATCACCTTTAACTATTATTTTCGTTATTGTCTTCGGCGTATCTTCTACTACGAGATTCTATCTTCTATTTCATCCACTTTACTGCGGAAATATTGTTTTTCGTTAAAGATTCAAGGGAATGAATTCTTAATCGACCAGAGATTTCAAGAGAGAGATCGTCGAAACGAACCAAATCGGCGATCTTGTTTCTTGTTGTTAATCGAGTTCAATGTCGTGATGCAGTCCTGTTTTAAAAAACCGAAAGCGGCACGATAGATGTCGAAACGCGTTTAAAATGCACGCTACATGTGTACTCACTTCTGTCTTTCATGGAGAGCCACTACTGAAATTTTGCAATCGATCCTTAATACCTATCAACACATTCTCGAGAAGATCTCGTTGGCATTAAGCAAGACACAAAAATTAGGATAAGGACTGGTGAAAGGAGATTAATTCCTTTGAAACTCGCGGATGACCGATCGTTCGATGCGCGATTTGTGCGAAATTTCCTTTTACTTGGAACAGTGATTCGAAGTGGATAGAATTTCTTAGTAGAGATCGTTTCGGAATTTTCCATTTAATTTTAATTTTTAGGATTTTTCTATTTTCAATTTTGCAATCCTTCGTTTCTGATTTTGTTATGGAAATACTCACGCAAAACAGCAAGGACTGCGGAGAACAGAGTCGCTGTTAAGCTGAAAAAAATAGAAAAATATTAATTGCTATTTTATTGCATCGTAAAGTACATCTCTAGTTTCATTCCATGTTTTTGTAACAAAAGACTATAGAATCTCGGTACTTTACCTTTATCGATCTAATTTTCTTCGTTTAAGCGAGAAGTACGAATGGTGCTTTATTTAGGGCAAAGATATCGAAAGAGAAGAAAAAGTAGCGTAAAAGGTGATTATTTTATATTATACAAATTGTTTGACTTTTAAACGAATATAGCTGTATATATATGGTTTTATTTATAAATATAACCTAACCTAAAATAAAACTAACCTTAAATAACTAGCCTTAACTAACCTAACCTTAAATAAAACCATCTTTATATATTTTTTATTTAAGACTTCTTCATAAATAAACTACGAACTACGAACTATTGAATTAACTTGTCACATTTATTTACATCGAACTTGAATAAAGGACTCTATCGAATCAGGGATTAGCTCGTAAATCGTAAGTGTACGCTTCATGAAGAAACTGTATGCTGGTAAAATTCTTTAAACGAACGATGCCAAGGTTGTCTTATATACCTTGCACAAAGACGCCTCAAACACATCTGTAATTACTATGATTAACGAAACATTGTATTTCAACTATATAATCCAAAATAATTTGCTATAGTAATGTATCAGATATTTTCGTAAGTAATCGTCTGAAAACACGTCAGTTACAAACATTTATTTGAAAGATAATCCATCAACTGGAGAGCGTGTAGTACATCATTAAATGATCGATCGAAACAGAAAGGGAATAGCTGCTGCTTGGCTTGAACCGAGACTAGTATTGCATCACTGTGTAGCATTTCCAAACCACAACATACTCGACCCGCGGTTTGTGTAACTTTATGTCTTCCGCGTTTTACGATCTTGCAAATTTTCGTCGAGAGTTAGTCATTAAAGAAACATTTCTTATGTCCACAACTTTTTACTTTTAAACTTTCCACGGTTTCTCATGCACTTTATCACGCGTAATGTACATGTTTCTATCGTTTCACGACATCGATAAATTCAGAAGATCAAAGCTAGAAGACACGAATAAATAATTATTTGTTTGATTTGATGAAAAATATCACATCCATCTAACTCGCACGAAGAAAACGTAACACCTCGAAGTGTTAAGAAATATTCTTAGCTGCTTGTAAAATAAAATCGAGAATAAAATCAGTCTGCACGAGTATTTGATAAACGACGACCACTTTTTTCGCGCTATGATTATCGTCCGGATCAAGTTCAATATATAATTACGAATCTACATTAATTTCAATAAAATTTTGCCTTGTGGGTTTGAAATTCTACTTATATAAGTCGTCTATTTCCGCAAGTACTCGCAAAGTGTCACCTCGTTCATAAAATTTTCCATTACATCGATGCGGATATTTCCCTTTTTAAACAAATAAAATATTTATATAATATATATTTATAAAATAAAGAATATCATGGTAGATTTCGAATATTCCTTTATAAATGTTTCCACTTTGATATCTCAACGTTCGAATCTATCAACAAGATCCTCATATTCTTCGATAACTATAGTACGATACAATATAATCTTCGAGCTTTCAAAGACACCCCGTTAACAGTACGCACTTATCTCCCCTAACCGCACATTCGCAAACTCTCACTGAACACATATTTCACTGGAAACTTTTACTCACGATCGGCTAATAAAATTAAAAAAATTAAAATCAAGAAAATAGAGAAAAACTAACACGCCCATCGACCCTCGATCGTGTAATACGATAATACAACCGTAACAATTGCGACGTAACACAAGCAGCCAAAATTCCCTTTAACCGGTTAAACGCGATTACAGTTAAAGATCGATCCTTAGTGGCTTAAGTTAATTTTGAATCCGTAACCGAAAGAAACTAAGAAGGAGAAAGAAGACAAATTGGTCGTACCAAAGGCGCACAAGAAGAGCGTACATCACGGCCGGTCAGCAGGTTCTCTGGCGTCTAACCGATCGAAAGACGGGGATGATATGTAAAGCCACGATCCCCGGACAGGACTGCAGGGATTGCCTTATCGCATTAAGCATGCTGATTACCTCGTGCCACTTGTCGGTCATTGGTCCAGCCCCGTGGCTCGCGCCACACCGATGCTAACTTCTGGAGAACGGTGTTGCACACCGTCGAATCGCCTGTTGCCTCCATTCATCCGTCTTTCTTCGCGATTTTCACGACTCGTTCGATGCTCGAGTTCTATCTCTTTAACGCGTTCGCTGTCGCGGCTTTCCAGAACTTTCTCGTTCGCCGCTACCGAACAAGCGGGCTGCGCACTCGACTTTCCTGTTTGGCGGAACGCGGCAACTATCGCGACGAACGGGTTGCCACTAGTTGTTTATCCGCGTTTCCTAATTTTGCTTCCTTCGAATTTGAAAACCGCGCCGCAGTGAACACGTTGGAGCAGTTTAGAGGAAGATTAAAAGTTCAAAGAGTTAGGTAGGTGGTGGTTACGGTAGAAGGGTGGAGAGTCAAGGGGCGGTGGATCGTTCGGACAAGACGATTCTCTTGACGAAACATTGTTTCGCCAGATTTTCGTAATTTAATAATTCGTATTTTATTTGTTATTTGGTATTTTAATAATCAAAGGAGATTTAGAATTCTCGAGGGAAATTAGGGCAGAGTGAAAATGGGAGACTTTTAGGGCAGGCACGTTTCAAGTGTTTCAACGGTTTACGGTTCGTGCGGTTGGGATGATTTTCGGGTTTTAATAGCCAAAGGCGGATTTGGAATTTTTGAAGGATGGCTAGGCATAGATAATTTCAGGAGAATGAAGAGTTTTCCATTCTCCATTCTCCTGAATGTTAGTTTGGAGCGTTTGAGAGACGAAAAAATTGAAACGTTTTGGGAGATTTGAAGTAAAAGAACATCGAGGAAAGATATTAAATGAAGAAACGTAGAAATTAGCAGCTCGAAACCTTCGTAGAAGGAGAAGTTGAAATTCAGAGAATTTACGGAATTCTTAAGGTTCTGTGATCGTAGTTTGTTTGTCTCCTCTTGGAAAGGGTTGTCGATGCTTGTAATTGAAAATGGTACTAAAAACACGTGTAAATAATAAAAATTATATTCCATATGGGGTACGTTAATCAAAGAAGAAGTTATTACTGAATGGGGAAGAAATACTATCAAAATAAGAATAACAAATTTGCGATACAAATGATTCTGAACGCAGCGAGACGTATGAAACGTTTAACTTTACTTTAAGAATTCATTGTGTAATAACAGACACGAGAATTATAACGCGAAGAATGTACAGTTGCAAGTGTATACGCATTTATTGCAAGAACTAGGAATGTTGTGCGAGAGAAATTGACGAACCGAGTAAAAACTTGTAAACAGTTGTAAATCACGGTAAACGTTACGTCACGCTTTCATTTAGATTACTTGGTTATGTAGTTTTTTGTAGCTCCTTGCTACATCCAGGGATCTAATAAATTAATAAAGAAATGGAAGAGTAAACGGGTGAAAGGAGGAACGGGCATGACTGATTTACGGGGACGCGAGATTTGAATAATTCTATGGCCCACGTTAGAGATAGAAAATTTATAATAAACGTAAAGACACTTGAAGATAATTGTAATTGCAAAACGCGCGATGATTAACTCGTCGCATGCTGAATTGTAGATAATACTCGAACTATTAGTACCACGTACATTAATTTTTTAGTCTTTGGCGGAAGAGAAAATATCATATTAATAAAAGTATTCTGAAAAAATGACGCATTTTACGCTTTTCATAAAATAAAAACAATCTTTATTTATTGACACCATAACCATGCCATTAACTATCAAAAATCCCTTAAGAGGGAGGGATTAACTTGTCTTCTGTGTCATTGGAAGAAACACAATTGCAAATTTCCAATTATTGTATATTATTAATTATTATATTAAATGAATTTCTTGTGCATATTATCAGATTATTCAAATTGATATCACGTTTTTTAAATTGCACAGGGTTGCAATAACAATAATACATAGTACCAAGGGCATAACAATTAACAATCGTTACAACAGCCTGTTACTTTTTGCATAACAAATCGAACAATGTCCAAAATTGTTACGTGAACCAGAAAGCCCTACCGTTGTCGTCCACAGATATTGCCATTGATTTAGAATATATTTTGCCACATATCGCTCGGTTAATAACAATTTTTGCGTGTAAGACAATAAGAGTTATGCGGGTAACCATTAGTTATAATAATTACCAATAATTCGCCGTTCGATTTCATCTAATTTTAGCTTCTGATTTATCAAAAGTCCCGAAACCAAAAGAAAAATTCAATTTAACTTCAGCAAAACCCGTAAGTCTAGTTTCGCGAACAAAAAATCGAAGGATTCTCATAATTTTTAATACATTTTTTCTTTTTTTATTGTCAGAACCAACGATCAGCTTTAATCGAACGTTTCCATCAATGACGTACACATTTAACTTCAGCAAAACCCGTAAGCCTAGTTTCGCAAACAAAAAATCGAAGGATTCTCATAATTTTTAATACATTTTTTCTTTTTTTATTGTCAGAACCAACGATCAGATTTAATCGAACCAGACACGTTTCCATCAATGACGTACACGTGTAATTATCTTCGAGTTGTCGACGTTTGAATACTAATCGCGATTCCAAGTAAGTATTCAGTACCACCAACCAAGTAAATATTCAGTTTTGCTACCAACCAATCGTTAATAGCTATGCTAATCGATAGAAACGACAAAGTGGCCACGTAAAAAACGATTGTTCCAAGAGAACGATCCACTGAGATCGTGTGAGTTCGATGTTCTTCCACCATTGCAAATTAGTGTATTCGTGCAGCGGCGGAGGAAGGGGATGAAAGAAGGGAGGAACAGTCGGTCGTGGCGATTTCTGCGGTTTTTACGAGGATCGTTGAGCGACGGCGAAAGTTGCAAAAGCGATCGCCGCGGTACTGGCCCTAAATTCCGCGATCCGTGACAAAATATGCGAGTAAACCCGGTCACTTACCTCGAAGCGTGATCTTAATCATCGTACCACGTTCGTGGAATAATGTTGCAACCCGATCAGGGATTTTATTAGCTGTTTCTCTACCTTTCTCGTTTTCCTCCCTTCTTTCCCTTTTCTTTTCGTTCTTAAATTGATGAATTTAAGAAACAAGTTTGAGTTTCTCATCGAGTATCCTCTTCGCGATGTTTTCGTGTTTTTACTAGAGGAAGAATCAACTCTTGAGATTTGTTAAGAGATTACAGCAAATCATCGATTTATGACGGGAATTAGTTATGCGCATAGTTTACTCAGTTTGAATATAATTTCTATGTGCGTGAATTTAACTATAGTACCAGATATAGTATCTTATTTACAATTACAACACAATTTAACAATTACAACAAGGTGTAAAATTAGGATAATGATTAAATCAAGAGACCTTATTTCTTAAAATAAAATATTATATTGCAAAAGATCTGAGGATCGTCTGACAACTACCAATCCATTTCACCCTACTCGCTTGTAATTTTTCACTTTTTTATCGCGAGAATAACGATAAGAAACTTTTCTTACAAAAAGAATAGGAAAGAAAGAGTACTAAATACAGTATTTAAAGTACTTAAAAAATAATTATGCTTTCTGTACTAGTGTACGATTAAAAAAACAAGTCATAATTCTTGGTCTGTGAATCGAGAAGTACTTCTGGCTACAAACCATACGCTTTCTCACGTTCTTTTATATTTCCTCCCCTCTTATAATAACCATAACCATATCATAGTTCAATGAAAGATAAGTTCAATAACAATGGTAATTTAATTCCTTGTTCTTCTTTGTAAAAATAATATACCTAAAAATCTGTCAAATATTTCCTATTCCGTCGTCTCGGAACAAAAATATTGTAATATTACGATAACAACAAAATAAACCTAGCACTTACACGCAAACAGATGGAACAAAGAAGAGAAACAAGATGGAAAAAAGAAAGGAATAACGTGAGTCGAAATATCAATTATATAAATATTATATTAAATAGTACTTACACGTGAACACATGGAACAAAGAAGAAAAACAAGATGGAAAAAACAGGAATAGCGTGAAATGTCAATTACATAAATATTTATTATACTCATTAAAATTCTAAATTGAAACGGACTAATTGATAAAATAAACTCAGTGGGGGAAGACTCTTCCTATGTTTTTTTGTAATCACGACTGTCGTGGACTTTGATGATTCAGAATCGTTGTCGATTCAGCATACCCTGAGAGTATATATAAGAGGTTGGCAGACGGCCGAAGATCAGTTCCGATTTCTGCAGAAAAACGGAGATCTGTGATTATTTCCGCTCTTAATATTGAATCTGACAGAACGAAAGAATGTTGTCCAGGTTGCTTCTCTTTTTGACGATTGTTGTTGGATTTGTGGCAGCTGAAGTTCGTAAGTAAATTTCAAGTTCGATATGATTTTTTCGTTTTTTTTTTTTTTAATAAAACAATATATCTCGCTTAAACTTCTTATACACTTGAAAGCTTGTTAAATAATATTTTAGATTTCTTTAAAATAAAAATTTATACTTATAAATAAGATTCTAGATTTTTGGACATAAGATTTAGAAAATTATGGTGATCAGAAAGTTGAAAGAAGGGAAAAGAATAGGATAGCTGAAAGTTGAAAATAAAACGTCAGTTACTTACATATGTGGTGTGTTAATTAATTTACATATATAAATTATATTGTGTATTATATTATTATATTATTATATTACTAAATATTAATTGTATAGAATATTCGTATAGATCAAGCAGAATTCATATATTCCGAGAAGGCAAACGTTAATTTAAATAAACAGACAAATATAGATTGTATAAATATTATTGTAAAAATCATAGCAATTAATTAAACTACAGTTTACCAATTAATATCGGTGAAAAATTCGCTTATTTGTTATTTTAGAGTTAGTTACTTTGGGAGTTGTTTCAGATCTCTTCTCGTCCTTCATTTTCCGATAAACCAGTTAGTAGGAAAAATAGTAAAACTTGAGAAAGTCTTTAATATTTAATTTACTCTTTGATATTGTGATTAATCTTTGATAAAATCTATAATCCTGCATTAGTGTTTATCGAATATTCGATAAATGTGTAATAAGACGTAATGCAGAATAAAGTATCAAATGTCACAATATATAGAAATATATATACGTACACTAAGTATAATTTTACGTTAAGTATTGACACTGAAAACTCGCACTGCAACGCGAAACAGACACTTTGAAGCGTTGCTAAAATAATAGACAAACACGTTGTAACTTCCACTAAATTTAATATTCTTTGCTGTGAATTATTTTAGTCAATTCAACGGTAAAACAAATATAATTCCACTGTAACAAATACAACCATGAATTCAACGAAAATACAAGCAACGTTTATCAAAATACAATTTCAAGTGCATAATACGGATAGATACGATTTAGAAGAAATCATTTTATCGTGACTTAAACGCATCGTATCGATAGAGGTAATGAATCAGAATCATATAACAGGACATAAAATAAAGATAAATAAAAAAATGAGGAAAAGGCTTTTTCATACTGATATTTTAATTAAGCGGTTATAGATGATTAATTCACGGATATGTCGAGGATATTCATGAATGAATAAATATCATGGACGACATGAAGGCTGTGCATCGTAACACAGAAGAAAACTTTGCATGCCATACAATTACTATCAATGCTGTCGAAAACCAGGAAGCTCGCAAATCCGATTGCGCATAGAATTTAAAGAATTACAGTTTACAACAGATTGGTAAAACGTTGTTAAACGTTGAGTGTTGAATATTTATTTGCGTAGGTGAAAACATTTTACGAAATTGTATGTTAACTTATCTAAGATGATCTAGTCGACTGAAAAGTAGCATTAAAGTGAGAATATTTTACGCAATTTGTACATTACATTATACACTGTATATTAAATGATGTATTTCACAATTAAATTCATTGCATGAAAATAGAACACCGACATATGTAAGTAGATGTAATAACTTAAATATAAGATATAAATATAAAGAAAAAGGAATGCATCAAACGTATCGGTCTAGAATTTGAAATATCTACATCTCTTTTATCTCCTTTTATCTCTTTACGAAGAATACAATTTTCCTTATTGAATTGAATATATAACATAAATAAGCTATTACACGTAGCTATCGTCTTAGTCGTAAATGTGAAAATAAAAAGTAAAAATCTGAAAAACAGGAAATAAAGTAGTTGTTCGTGCCAGCAGAAACATACCCTAGAGGGATCGTTATTTAATCGGTTAGTAACACCTATAAACGAATAACAATTTTATATATCATGCGTTGAATTTTTAAGAAGAAAGGTAGTCTATTGAAAAATATTCTTAAGGAAAAGTAAAGAAAGAGGAATATCTATCCAAATAGACTAATTATCAGAGTACTTTACGTAATCGACTTGGAATTGCTAATCATTCTGCATTTGTACAACATTTAAAATTAATTTCCTTGCAAAAAAAAAAAGTAAACACGTGTGTTCCTGGAAATCTATGTTTCTCCTCCTTCCTGCATAAAGTATCTCGATTTTTCTATTCGTCTTTATGATAAAATATTAGGGAAAATAAATTAGGAGAAAACAAAGAAGATTAGAAATAAAAAATATCAAATTGCCAAAAAATTGCGAACGAACTCGTATATTTTAAACTTCAGAAGAATAAAAATACGTAATAAATAATTTCAAGTAGCAGGATGATAAATTTTTAATTATCGACCCAACCACTTTCCTCACAGAAATAAATATATAATTCTACGGAAAATATACCTTACAAGAAAAGGATTAAGAATAATAATTTTCTTTTACTGCTCTTTCCCCTTAACGGGTTTGAGGGATTTCCGTGTCCTTAATAAAATGCCTTACAGTATCCTTAAGTTACCTTATCAACTAACTTATTTTCTTATTATTGAGTTGGCAACTAAGTAATTGCGGATTTTATCAATACCACCTAATGACAAAATCCGCAATCACTTAGTTACCAACCCAATATTTACCTGGCCAACTATCTTGCTTCCAATCGCTCAGGTTCTACGGACATCGAGTGTTCCCAGGATTTCCATTTCCTCTTACGCTCTAATATCTCGTGCCAACGGTGACTCTGATTATTTCCTTTTCCTTTTGTCACTTCTCTTTTTTCGCTTCTTCTTTTTTCTCTGTTTAACAGTATAAAAGAATATAAAATCTTGCAAAGATCGAAATAAGAAGATTCAGGGCCCGATATTACAAAAACACTAGAATATAATCGTAACTGATGTTTCGAAGAATAAGATTGAAAGATAAATATTGATAAATCTGATAACCATCTTTGCAGCTCCTTACATACATATTTGCGGCATAAAAAATCCAAATCTCGATGACTGTATCATCAAGAGCGTGGCTGGTATAGCCAAGAAACTCGCCGTTGGTATACCAGAGTTGAATGTTCCACGAACAGACCCAATGGCAATCGGAGACATGACACTTATTGACGTCGAAAACTTTAAGGCCGTTGGATCCAACGTAACACTCACTGGCTTATTGACGTATCATATAAATAGTCTGCACTTAGATCTCGAGAAGCGCCAAGTAGACATCGATCTGAATTTGGATGAAGCTAAAATAGATGGCAATTACAATATTAGCTCTAAGATCTTAATCCCTATAAATGGAAGAGGACCTCTCACCTTTACCACAAGTAAGTTAAAAGAATTATACGTACGTTTCATCGTATCGTTATGTAATTTCTTTTATATTTAGAAAATATTAATTCATTCGGTCTAACTGCTGGCGATGCGCATGAGTCATAAGGCATATTATTATACGAGTATAATTCAAGTAAACTGTAGAATACGTACGAACTTTGTACATACGTCATTTTCAAAATAACAATATCCACGCGTTAAAAGAAGTATCTCTGGATTCTATTCGTAAAAACTTGCAACGTATTGTAAGAAACAGCTACAAATTTGGTGTAAGCCAAAGTGAAGTTGAACTTATAAAATTACGGATACGGGTACATTGGCTCGAGAAACTACATATTTGGATACTTGTCATAGAAAAATTCTGTACGCATATTGTATGCGCTATATAAATTTCAAGAGGGTTGCTCCATGCCAAACGGGCCACTTAGAGATGAAATATGCTACAGTCCATGTGAAATTAGTCAGAGTTTGAATCGATATTTTATTGATTTCGAATTTGTTTAAGAAATACGAACCTTCGAATTTCGCAACGCTCGCCCATTTTTACAAAGTCGGTTTATAATTGCTTAGATACGATTCTTTTGAGAAAAGATCGGAAGAAATCGACTGTTATCGATCCGCTCTAGCCATTCCCCTCGCCTCGCGTTCACCGTCAAAACCGCAACTGAAAAATTTTTCCGTAACGATAATTACAAACTCGCTTTACAGATGACGTAAACGTAAAGATAAAATTGTTGTACAACCTGGTCGAACATGCTGGAAAACAATATGTCTACTTCTCGTCGATGACCACGCACTTGAACGTCAAGGATTATACCATCAAATACGAGCCGGAAAATTTCGACAAAACTCTGCAAGATGCGTTCAAAGAGGCGGTTGGCCACAATAATCGGGAAATATTGGAAATGACCAGACCTCATTTGGAGAAAGCCATTTCCCAGAGATGCCTAGAAATATCTAACAAGATCTGCAAGCATTTCTCTTACGACGAACTTTTCCCCGATCGGGAGTAAACGAGATCGTTAAGAGATCGCTGCGAAAATCCCTGTGAAATAAAAGGAAATAGCTGTTGGAACGAAATAAGCGGTTGAGTTACGTTTCCCATGAAATAAACCGTTCGTTATTCGAATATTTTTTTAACCATATATTAGCCACGGCGTTTATCGATGACAAATTTGTCAACATCTTTAGAGCGACTGAAATAACATAAATTTCGCGCATTAAAAAATTGTCAACTATGTGAGTGATTTAAATCACATCTTCGTTATTCTTGTAATTAATTTTCTTTTTATGTATTTTATTGAAATTATCACCTTGTTAAACGTTCTACGATATTCTGTAAAAAACGTACCCTGCACGCTTATTAGTAAAAAATACGCATTTCTGAAGATATTTGATACAATTGTTTATTGTGATAATAAATTGTATAAAATCTTTTTATACTTTTGTTTATTATCTTACCAATTTCTTGTATTAATATCGTTCTATGTAATTAACCAAAAACAGATGTAACTGTAAACGTGATGTAAAATTAATTTCTTTATTTGACTCACGCATTGCCCCCTTAAGCATTATACAGATAACTATTTTTTTTTTTCAAAATTCATCGCAAAGTATTGCAATAATCACAAAACATCGAAGATGGCAACTGAAGAATTACAATATTACAAATGTATTTTTAAATTAATTAAGAAAGAAAATACAAAGGATACCGCAATAATAATTGCAAACGGAAGATAGAAAACTCAATGAAAGAAACTAACATATTAACGCGATTATTACGAACGGTAGCGAAAAAGTATAAGTTCGTCTTATATATTTCGTCACCAGACTGCGAGTATTGATGCATTTACACTAAAAAAAAAAAGAACAAAAAAAATAGAATTTATGCAGAAATTTGTTCCATCCACACGTTATAAACTACTTATGTACATATACTATTTGGATATTTCATATATTTGCCGTATTACATGTATTCTATGCATATTTTTACATTTTTCAATTTCCCATAAAATGCATAAAAATCCGTAATGTACCCGACACTCGCATTTTTTTATCTTTCAAACGAATGAGTACAATAATCTCCAACATAATTCGAAAGCAAAATCATAATTCCAGATTTAAGAATACTAAGAAATCTTCTTCGTCGTTTACTAACATACTTCAATGAATTTCTTTAAAAATGACATAGATCATCTCACTGTGGTCAGTGCTCGATCATTGATTTACGAGATTTTTTGGTACGTTTTTACGATTCTGGGAAAAGCATCTCGTAAGTAAACTCTTGCAGGATACCGTTTGTAATCCCTGTGAACGTGTTGGAAATAGCGCTCTCGATAGATGGCTTTATCTCTTTCATAAAGGAGTCGAAGTTGCTGTTGATGGCGGTGTTAACAGCTTCGCCAAGAACTGGATCACCGCCGAACAGATTTTGCAGATTCAGTTTACCACCTCCTACCGAGATTTTGGTCTTAAGTTCGGTCAGTTTCAGATAATTTTCACCGTCGCTTCTCTTTGACACCTGCATCTGCAGTTTCACCAGCGCCTTGCAATTTGTAAAATCGCCAGTAATCGGCCCGCTTCCTCGAATCTGAAGAAGGATTACTCGTCCATCCACGTCGTAATTTCCTTCGATAGAAAGATTTGGAAGGTCTAGCTCGACTACGAAGTTTAGGGTGTCCAAATTGGCTCTGCGGAAAATTGAGTGAGGATCAAAAAATGAATGATTGAAAGAATACAAGAATTTCTTAAAATTCTAAAGCGTTGAACGTCAACGTGGGCTCCGATGAGCCAGGTTGAAAAAGATGCGCGGATACGGTATATACAGGGTGGTTACGTCTTTTCATCAGCTTCCATACGTTTCATTTTCGTAGTATGAAATTTTTGTACTCGCACGAAAAATTTAATGCATATACGTGATCCTAATTAATTAGTATGCAAATGCAAGTACTCTTTGTAGCCATTGGGTTAGTGTTCGTTGGCTACGAAGATCGATATGCATAGAAAATCATGGGATACAGTCGAAGAATATATCGCCGGTTCTCGAGGTATCAGACTCGACGATACAACGCTAAAAAAAATAAGAAAACGACGAGAATCGATTCGCCTAATTCACGAAACAAGGAACCACCGTGGTTAACGCGTAGTCTATCGCAATAACCCTCAATAGTAAATATCTTCGAACGATTAAAATCAGATAAATTTCGTGGACTAACAAATTTCCAACATTTTATTATTATTATTATTTAATTTGTACTTTACAACTCGTCCAGCTGGACGTTCGGTAAATTTGTCCAGCCTAATTGCTAAATAACATGTGGATGGCTACCCCCAGCGGGATACCATCTTCGTCCAACAACACGAACCATTCAGATTACACCGTTGGACAAGAAACGCTCGTTACGAAGTATGACCTCGTAATTCACTGGCAAAGACGATGTAATATTTAGTAAGAATTAAATGTTTTGGCATAATATATTATACAGGATGGTTGGTAACTGGTGGTACAAGCGGAAAGGGGGTGATTCTACGCGTAAAAAGAAGTCTAAAATATAGAATAAAAATTTTTCGTTCGAGGCTTTGTTTTCGAGAAAATCGACTTTGAATTTTCGGTCGGTACGCGTGCACTTTATCGCTTCTCGTTATAACGGATCTCACTGTAGATCGTTGTCTCGATTGACGTTATTTTTTTAATTTTTTAAATTTTTATTCTATATTTTCGACTTCTTTTTTCGCGTAGAATCCCCCCCTTTCCGCTTGTACCATCAGTTACTAACCACCCTATATATTTTGCGAAAATTCAACGTTACGGCGCAGTATATCTCGATTTATTCCGATATTCTCAGGATAAAATGTATAAAAATCTCGTGGCGATCGAAGAATATTTCCTTTTATAATTTTATATAATTTCCTATGCTCGTAAAGAACTTTTAGTTAAAATAGAAACGATTCTGATTGATAGAAACAAGGAGAATCGTTTGATTAATAAATTACACGTCACTGACATTCATCGTTTCCAAACATACGGTTTCCATCCCTTTTTGCAATTCACCTGTCACGTTCGCCATACAAATTATTTCCAACTAGAGCCATAGCAGTTCGTGTCACGGTCACTCGCGCATATGCGGAATACAAAGAGAGGATCTCTTACTGTTGTTTTATTTATTCGTTTATGAGTCACCCCGTCGGGAATCAATCATCACCAATGAATTGCATCTGATTTTCAAGACTTAAGGACGATAAATAACGAAGTATGAGACGAAACGTTGAAAAAGATATAAACCAGAAAAAGGGGAAATATAAAAAATGTGAAAGATCTTTTTTCCGCAATGATATAACGACTTTCGCGAAGATAACTAAAAGAATAATATAATGAGTTTTATTTTGTTTTTTATGTATTCAAACTGAAACTAATTTTGTATCAAGACTACTTATACCGATACCAGTGAAAATTACTGGTACTTGTCAAAGTGTAAAAGGTTCCTGCAATGTGTTTATCGAACCCCATTTAATCAGTTTCCTCGTTTTCAACAACTTGCCACGCGTTTTTCAAATTTTTACCGCGTATCATTCGATATGACGATATCGGTTATCGGGAAAATTCCGGATCGATCGCTAGATGCTAACACTAAAAATACCACACCAGTCAAATTGGCTGGTTTTACAGCTTTATTTCAAAATTCCTACTTTATGTTATATCTTTTTCCCGCAATGATATAACGACTTTCGCGAAGATAACTAAAAGAATAATATAATGAGTTTTATTTTGTTTTTTATGTATTCAAACTGAAACTAATTTTGTATCAAGGCTACTTATACCAATACCAGTGAAAATTACTGGTACTTATCAAAGTGTAAAAGGGTCCTGCAATCTGTTCATCGAATCCCAATTAACCAGTTTCCTCGGTTTGTACAATTTGCCACGCGTTTTTCGAATTTTTACTGCGTATAATTCATTATAATTCATTCTTCTATATTTTTAAAAAATTACGATAAATTAGGTAATACCGATACCAAAGAATGGAATTTTTTAGGTTTCCGATTATCCGAATTCTCTGGAACATTTGAAATTAATTCGTTTCTCCTCGAGTCCAAGTTCGTCTTCGCGAACATACTTAACTGCTACGCTATACGACGTCGTCATTTCCGAATGTCATTTCAAGGCAGGTCGTTCATCGCCGAGTTCATAACATGTGTCATTACCCGGTTAATTTGACATAATGACGGAAGCCAAGTTTGTTTTATGAAACCTGCTACGCAATCTTCCTTCATATTCACTGAAACTCGTCTCGAATAATTAACTTACAGTACTGACAGTAGGTAAATCGAATTTTGCAACAACATCATTATTTTCGTAATAAACAAACTTTGTACAGTCTATTGTAGAGGGAAACATAGCAAGTTTCTAGCAATTTTAATTCACAGTCAAAATTGTATTATATACGATACTTGATACTTGTGAAATTTACTGAATACTTGAAATATTAATAACTTCATCTTTACGACGCAGAGGTACAAAAGCTAAAGTGAATTATTTTAATTATTTAAAATTTTAAATAATCCTGATCTTGTCACTTCTCGAACATGAATGCCATGCTATGATAAAAACTGATGATTGATGAATCAACGACACATTATAGCGTCTAGACACAACGATTCTTTCACTGTTATATAGACACATCGTTCATAATCAAGATTACAACTCAGACACAATAATGATGCTCGAATCTGACATTTTCCCTGATCCTATCGACTTTCTATTACGCAAACTTAATCATATCATAAATCATTTACATAATTCGTAGCGCATTAAATTTTATAATAAACGACGTAACGCGTTACAACTGTAAAAGTGGAAAATTCGTCGATAAAAATTCGCTAGTAATATCTTTACTTATGGAACTTTTTTTAATTCTAATTTTTTTAAAATACGTGTATCAACAATGCCTATACTGTGAATATTTTTATATTTTTACAAACACAGCGAAAGAACCGAAGCTTAAATAGAAATTCTTCTCGTACAAAACTTATACAGGGTGGTTGGTAATTGGCGGTACAAGCGGAAAAGGGGTGATTCTACGCGAAAAAAGAAGTCAAAAATATAGAATAACAATTTTTCCATCGAGACAACGATCTACAGTGAGATCCGTTGTAACGAGACGCGATAAAGTGCACGCGTACCGAGCAAAAATTCAAAGTCGATTTTCTCGAAAACAAAGCCTCGAACGAAAGCCCCTTTCCGCTTGTACCACCAGTTACCAACCACCCTGTATATTTGCGTATTTAAATGTATATCATACGATCTAGTTGTTAAAAGTATTTAAAAATATCACATCAAAATATAACGTATCTCTCTTTAAGCGTGAAATATCAGACTTGTTAGGACGTATCATCGTATTCTTACAACAATTTAGAATCTAATGACCATTGTATAT